GTAGAGGGCAGTGTCACTGGCCCTCATATGTGGGATCCAAACCGGGGCCCTCTGGCGTCCCAAGCCAGGTCTTAACCAATGTGCCACTCGGCCGGCCCTTATTTGGATTTTTAAATAAATGTAACACTCTCTGTTTTAGTCACGGTTGAATGCAACCTTGGGACTAATAGCTTATTACTAACTGTCAGTAAGTATGGAAGTAAAAAACCGAGTGTCCGGTGTTATTGAAACTGTTGAGAGAAAGTTGTGCTCATTCAGATAAACATCAATGTCATTTTCCAAATTAAATCTCAGATTTTCAATTGCAAATGTAATAAAAATCTTCAATTTGAACCAAAAGCGTTCTATATCCCACATATATTCAGCAGTTGTTTTTATCATGTTTAATATTTTTACAATTATAGCTTTTTTCTTTCCACCAAACAGATGTTTTCTATAATTGCTAGAGAAAGCATGTATCAATTACTTTTGAACACTTAAAAAAACTCAGATTTCAATGATGTGCCCTCTTCTAGTTTGCTGGCCTCATTTCAGTTTTCTACCTAAATCTTTCATCACGCTTGCCTTTTGCTGTCTGCTGCATCGGCCATCTTTGCTCACTTTCCTTCCTCCTCTTTTTTTTGGTAATCCTGTTAGCTTTCCGGGTCCTTTTCTACCCAGTAACTTGACCAGAGGCTCCAGATGCTCTGTCACCACCCTGGACCTTTTCCAACACTGTTTTTTTAGTGTCATTAAACACCCCCATTCAGATTCTATTTTTTATGTGGCACCTGCTCTAGACACTTGAACCCATTTTCACATCTTAGTAATGCTGTAAACAACGACTAACTGTAATAGCCACCTCTTGGGTAACTGTGCCTATGACAGGCAAACAGTGGCATAGATAAAACAAAAAGGCCAATATTCCAAATATATTTGACTCGAGAAGCCATGTGTGCTCAGAGGCCGCCCGTCTAATGATATTTACTTAGACTGATATTGAGATGAATCTGTATTCCACCCATGCACAGCTCCTGAGGGGGCTGCGGGAAGTACAAGCAGCTGCACATCACAAGTTCACCATGCTGAACTCAGGGCGGAAAAACGAGCCAGAGCAGTTCAGGCGGGAACTTAATCCCTCTGTGTCCTTTTGTTCAGGTGAAACTAGCCTAATAGCCTTAATTCCTTCTTAGGTGCTATTTCCCTTAATGACTTTATTTCTTTTATGAAGATCTTCCAGCTTTCAGTGGCATTTATATAAGGACATGGGAGAGCATGGAGGAGAGATTCTTTCTCTTAGGGGTTGATTCGGAAAGGACTCGTGGAGTAGGTCGTCCCTTAGCTGGCCCTGGAAGCCTGAGTTGTATCTCCGCCCAACTCTAACTTTTCCCTTATGTTTGATACAAGATGGAGTGGAGAACTTGACCCAGTGCTCTAAATTAATATTTTACTATAGCCATATAAGATTCCAAATGGTGTCTCTTCTTGCCTGTTACCTGGCTCGTGGTTTTAACACATCCTGGTGTTCTGCATTTTTTCAGTTTAATGGCCACCTCTTCTTGGTTTCTCTTTGCTTTGTTTCCTACTTGACCTTGTATTCATTTTACTCTCTATATTAGTTACGTTTCCCAGCATGATGCCTTCTGTACATTTAACAAATATATTTCTCTTTTTCAGATAGTCTCAAATAGTGATAAAATTTACCCATTTTCCCTTATGATGTTATTAATGTGAATGTTAACCACTAGCATTGATAGAGCTGATCTTTGAATTGAATATTGGGGGCTTTGACTAAAGAAGAGTGACAGTGAGAATTAATTGCCCTGTGTTTAACTCCCTTTTAAAATAATCCAGTCCCCATCTGTCCTATCAGTGGTCCAACAAAATATTTATTGAGCAGATAGTGTGTACATGTCATTCCAGGTCCTATTGATCAAAAGTTGTGAACAGAGTTGAGATAGGTACAAAAGACACAGTGACCAGATATACCCCTTTTGTCAGGTGGATGTAGTTGATGGGAAGTGTGCGTGTTCAGCACCGATTTCTAGAAGAGCACTGGCTAAACCTGTTTGCATCCACTGAGAGGATTTGAGAGCTGGTAAAAGTAAACCCAAGTCGAAGTGGGGGGAGTTAAAAATGACTCCTGGACTTGAGAAAGCAGAGCAACAGTGAGAAAACAGCAGAAAAGGAGCTCTTGATGAGAGAAAGCCGTGGGAGGCCCACAGCAGCCTTGCAATTATAAATTGGGGAGAAATCAAGAAAGAATTCAGTGTTGAATGTGAGAGGTCCCCTGTGCTGGGGTCAAGGCAGGCACCCGGGCAGAGGAAGTGTGCTGCCTGAGACTGTGGAAGAGCTCAGTAGACAATGCAGAAAACAAAAAGGGAGAAGGGGACCAGGGAAGTGCCAAGTAGAAAGAGGAAACGGGCAGGGAGGGCATTTTACAGCGAGCCCTGTGGCTGTATCTGAGAACTTGGATGTCCTTTGACACCAGTGGACATTTTTTGTGACATGTCAGGGACAGCCACCATATTGAATACAGCAGATTTACTTAAGCATCATGGAAGTATGTTTAATGTAGCTTCAGCCTAGAAAGATCTATATACCCTGTTCATTTCCTTCTTTATAATCTCATGGTCTCTAAAGAAACTTCTGATATTCAGTAAAGTTACATGCATTTGATCATTGTGCATATTCTCCTTGCTTACTAACTAGTGCCCTGGTTAGGTATTCCAAGATTTTTTTTTCTCAAAGCCTGTGTATTACATGATGCTTTCCAGGCATTGGAGAAGTCCTAATT